TTAGTTAGTTAGAGAGGTTGGAAGGACAAGTTTAGCTTCAAAAGGGAGTAGATAGATAAAAGTTAGCTTTAAGAAAACGGAGCAATGGCACACTTGTAAGGGAAAACCCTTAAAGGAAATTTATCTCATTTTCTGATTGATATTCAATGATCAATAAAGATTTGCTCTTTTTTCTATCTTTCATACAATCTCTATGTTCATATTAGTGGATTTGTAACAAATTGTCAGCTGCTAACTCAGATTTGTGCAGAGCTGAAACTGACCCAACTTCTACTTCACAGTGCACACCCTTATTCCTTCTTGTTGAAATATGGAAAATATTTGTAATATATAGCGTATCCCATTTGTACGTGTTCTCTTGAGAAAGCAATAATATTTCAATTCTCTTTTCAAGTCTTCTAATATACACCTTTTAATTTTGTGTGTGTGTGTGTGTGTGTGTGTGATATAGTGTATCCTATTTGTACATGTTCTCTTGAGAAAGCAATAATATTTCAATTCTCTTTTCAAGTCTTCTAATATACACCTTCTAATTTTGTGTGTGTGTGTGTGTGATCAGATTGGATCTCCTATGCATATTCTAAAAGGTGAACTACATCAAAAAAAACTTTCTGAATGGTTGTCAAGACGATGAATTTGAAGATGGAGAAAATGTAATCTCCTTTCATAAAGGATAATTAGATATGCAAAGTGGATTGGAGGAACCTATTTTTATTTTACAGGCTAAAATGGCAATATGAATCCATGAAAATGTGCATCGCTTGAAATTTAGGATTAGGATTTGTTTGTAATTAGGATTTCTGGTTTCTAGGCTATATAAAGGTGTTTAATGGTTGTTAGCCTAGTATAGGAATGTTCATAATTTTGTAAATAAAATAAATTTTCTTCAGTGGTACCTGATTGTTAACTGAAAAACATGCCATCAGTATGCACAGATCTCCATTCCCATTATTTTTTCTCTCTATTTCTCTTGGAATGAAAGAATTTTATATGAACTAAAAATATATAAATGTTTTTATTGAGTGTAGAAAATTTTGTATATTCATTAAATTCCATGAGTCAAAACAAAAGCTTGGTTTAATGAACAAATAGAAAAAGCTATCCACCTCAATTAACATATTTATCTATCTGTGTTTGTATGATGACTTGCATTTGACACGAGGGTTTAGAGGTATATTCCTGAAGGAATATACCCAGGCAAACATTAGAAGAGCAGAGAAGTTAGTAATTGTTGTATAGGGTCAGTTAGATAAATCGTTGGTTAGAGATTTACAAAAGAAGCCTAGAAAGCTGTAAACTATGAAGCACCGATACACAGGAAAAAAATCCATCGTATCAGACATGCATCCAGTGCCGATACACTTCCGATACGGATATTGCCATATCGGATTGGTCTTCAGCTTCCGAAACTGCAAAGAGGATGGAATACGAAAAGGAGGTTGCAGTACCTTCTTGTCGATGGTGGAGGTCTGAAGAGGAGTAGCGAACTGTTGCAGAGCATTGAGGCCTTTGCGATGCTTCTTTTGCAAGACCTCGTCGGAACTCAGGAAAATGACGATTCATAGAGAAAGGAAGCACCTTTGAAAACAGGGGACACGATAGGCTCAAAAAAAGAAGACAGTGCTATATGCTCTCACTCCCAACGAGACAATCAGGACCGTTCAACCCACTAACAAGAAAAAATGCTTTACAGCTGGTTCCCACTGCCCCAAGTCAATCTCAATCGTGGATAAAAATTCATCCAACGGTTCCGCTAGCGATCTGTGTGAGGCACTTTTTCACAATCCTAGTGGTTGTAGTGGATCTGACACATGTTAAGCCCATTAATGAGATCTCTCATAAGGATAATGAGAAGATTGGGCGGGACCATATAAGAGTAATTAAACAACCCAAGGCCGATACCAAATAGAATAATTACACTATTTATATTAAAAATATTATTTAACATTAAGACGTATCGGAATGTATCGAAATATTAGTATTTTTGAAGTAACGTATCAACATCCAGTAACGGGAACGTATAAAAAATGACGTGTCGGAATCGGTGCTTCATAGGTTGTAAATAAGGGAGAAAAACCTAATTGATAGATATATTTGGGCTATACATGGTTCTTCAAGAAGGGAAACAGTGACAACCATAGATGGAATTCCACCATGTCAAGGTGCAAGACTATACTAGAAATGTTAGTCAAGGTGCAAGAAGTAAAAGCTCAGGACAAAAAAAAGAACTATCCTCTGAAACCCAAAAGACATAGTTGTGGGCAGAGAATGATTTCGTTTCAAACATGGATGTTTATGGGTCAAAAGCATAGCATGGCACAAAAAGGGAAGAAGTTGACAAGCAAACCAACAACGCTGTCAAGGCAAGTCATGCTTCACCTGACTCAAGATCGACGGAGGAAAAAGTTGACAGGACTCTTAAGTACAACTTTGGTGAGTTTCTAACATGGCAGCAAAGGAATTAGATTCCCAAGGCAATCTTGATAGGGTCACGGAGCAAGAGAGGGACCTCAACGTTTTATCTAGCATGGGTATTGGTGACCTACGACCAAAACAAGTCACAAAGTCAAAAAGAAGCAAGTGGGAGAAAGAAGGGCAAAACCAAAATTCTACCAAGTGGGTCTCAAAGTTTCTAAGTGGGTTCACGAGAGGGAGAGGAAGAAGGGAAAAATGAAGATACTTCGAAGTGGGTCTCAAAGTTTCTACATGGGTTCAAGAGTGGGAGAAAAAAAGGAGCAAAACAGAGATTCTGGCAAAACTCATGTTAGCAATTGTAGGACATTTGTAAGACCCTATCAAACGATGGGTAATAGGAAATGGATCAAGTCTTTATGTGTCCACTTGCGGAATCCCTTGAGGTGTGTCTCAATGAATCACAATGACCATCAAGCGAAAACACAGGGAACACCTAGCCCCAGACCCAAACAACGGCAACGCCAATGCCATGATTTCTCTTTCCCCACAACACTGCACTTTTGCAAAACAACAATGATGAGGACATCGATCCTTATAATGGCTTGTTAGAAGATAAGACAAAGAAGACTCTAGAGGTTAAAGAGCAACTCAAAGAACCTAACCAGTTTGAAGATTCATTGGTGGAGATATAATTGGAGGAAGCATTGTACCTCAAGCTCTTCAAAAATGGCGATGTGGGAGATTGTAATGCTAGAGTTGCTAATCTCTTTTAAGGTATTGTAGCTTAAATAACGAGTGCCAGGATATTTAGGGGAACAATGGCACAATGCTATAAAATTTAATATTCTCCTGGCTTCCTCTTACTTCTTGTTATTCACTTATTTGATCTGGTAGTATCATCTATTGAAATATTTTCTAATAGGGGTTTGCGAGAATCTAGAGAATTGGCTTGGAATAATATATTTTTTGGAATCATTTTGGTTAGGAATCAACTGCTCTTCTTGTCCTTGTCAATTATCTCAGGCTCAGCTTTGGAAGATAATACAAGAGACCCAACTGGTGGGTTGTTTGACACAGTGATGGAAAAAATGGAAGTGCTTAGCAGTTTGCACTGCTGCTTATGTTTGTACCATGGTTATGTTTGGCTCAATAGTTGTTAATATAGGAGGAACTCTAGGGATGAGTCAGTAACGTGTCCAAGAGATCACTGATTTTGCCATTGGTCCAGTACCTCATGCATCTTTCCTTTTGTTTAATGCTTATAGGGAAAAGGTTTCTACCATTACTCATGGACCTTTTAAGCAAAGAAGGAGAAACTTTGAATCTGAAGCTGATTTTGAGAAACTCTTTGAAGGAGAACAAGTGAAACCTACAATGATTGAACTGACAAAGTCTGACAGAGGTGATAAATCTACCCCTGTAAAACTCTCAAAATTACTTTATGACTGCAATTTCAGAGTGATGTTAATTGGGCACTTTTTGCTTTGCAGCAACTATCTGGCATAAATGTTGTTTTCTATTTCTCTTCAACTATCTTTGAATGTTTTAGTGTACCATGTGATCTTCCACACATGTATAGGAAATTGCAATTTATTGGGGTCAATTATTGGAACGATTATAATGGATGAACATGGAAGGAAAATGCTTCTCCTGGGTAGCTTTTTGGGCATGGCAGTAGCCATGGGTTTCCAAGTTCTTTTGCATCAGTAATTTGAGCAAGTATTTATCTGTTGGTGGCATGTTATTGTTTTTGCTATCAGTGCTGGTTTTTCCCTTGTCTCCTCAAGTCCAAAATACTACTTCGCAAAATCAAAGTCAATGGCAACTTGCTTGGTTGTGTATCATCTCCTTGCTCAGGTGTTAGGAACACGCAATGTTCTATGATAGGGATAGCCAGTAGCTCAGGTCCTAGTTCAAAAGCAACATCTCCCTCTTGAGGAAGGTTCTTGGAAGGATGTCACTATAATGCAGGGACAATGTCAAGATTTCAACCTTGAGGATAAGGTTGTTGCAGAAGGGGGTAGTATTGTTATGACTTGCATTTGAATTTTGACATGAGGGTTTGGACATATATTCCTAAAAAAATATACACAGGCAACAATTAGAAGGCTAGGGCAGTTAGTAATTGTTGTATGAGGTCAGTTAGATGCGTCAGTTACACAATAAGATGGTTAGAGGCTTATGTGAGAAGCATAGAGAGTTGTATATAACACCTAGTTGATAAATATCTTTTGGCTATTCAAGGAAAATTCCCATGTGAAGAGCTCTGCTCTTGTGTTCTTTCATTCTTCATTCATCAATAATACAATTTTTTTTCTCTCTCTCAAATTCCCTTTCTTTCCTCTTCCCCAACCCCATCACCATAATTTTACCTCTCAGGACCTAGAGCCATAATAGTTCGGAATGAAGAGTAGCTATTTATACATTAGACATGGGTTTTCCTATTATACAAGCGACATATAGCAGCTTAACATCATCGTAAGTAAAACTAAATGTCAAAAACTCGGAGCAATTTCATAAATGCGAATATTGCAGGATAAAATTCTTACTTAACCAAGAATAGTAAAAGTAAGCTAAAATCTAACCTCACGTATGATTTGCTTCACTGATTTTTTGAAGGGAACAACCAGATCAACATGGTGCTCTTGATTCTCCTCCAAGAAATCATCATCATCTTCCGCACGAGGCTCCAAAAGAGGCAAATAGAACATCAAGAATGACCTTATGGAAGTCATTGCAAAAGTTCTCAATTCAAAAGCAGAGAATAGAGGTTTAAGTTCCACATTGTACTGCTTGGTACTATATCTTGGAGCATCATAATTATAAATCCTTCTAGAAGGACTTTGTATATTAGAAATGTAGTCTTCAGATAATGCTGCCCCAGCATCACAATACGCAATTGGTGACCTGAAATTAAAGTGGCGTGAATGCTAAACATAAATATATGCTCCTTGATCAGGTTAAACCAAAGTAGGACATACATGTCTGTCCATAAAACAACTATAAATTACAATTTACACCCAGTGCAAAAACTTTAAAACCTTTAATTTTACACCCGTAGTGTTTCAAAAAATAAATTCATCCATAACCCTTCTGAAGATTCAAAAGCAATGCAATAGGTGAAATTTCAGTTAAAATTGGTGACAGGAAGGGTCATATGCCACAATGCTAATCATTTTCTTCACCAAAAATTCACCAAAAGGATATCATATCCCTTTTCTCTGTTTTCTCCCTCTATACACAAAGAATCATGGTGTTTTCCACAGTTTCTGTTCCTTGCAACATACCTACATATTACACAATCTCATGCACAGGGATGAACCTGGTTCATCCAATCTAGAAGCAAATTTCAATGCATCTTGGTAAGATTCATGTACCCTAGCAAAAAACATTGATCATGTGTATGTCTCAAAAACTATCAGGTGTAAATAGCAGGATAAAGTTTTGTGTACCAAAGTTGATTTAGATGAAAACAAGGGTAAAAGTGTAATTTACCCAAAACATAATAAAAAAATATAAATCCCCATTAAAAACATTTGTATATATAAAATTCAATTAAAATCTTAACCAAAAAAAGCCCTTCCTTCCCTCCTGAACCCCACCAACCAGACTTCAGCAAAAAATTTAATAAAGTGATAACTATTAAACTCCTTTAGTGCGCTAGCTAGAATCTCCTCAAGTATCAATTCTTAAGGAATAATTCAACCTCCCAAATTCTTATACCATGCACATTCCTGCTTCTCTCATGATTATGTCCATGTCCTTGTAACGAGGCATGTCTCAATCTCATATGATTTCTTCCCCAACCCATTCTCAACCATTTCTAGCAAGCAATCATAAATTCAAATAAACGGCTCTATTGCAGTAGGACTTTGTAACAACTATTTCACAAATAAACCAAAGTGTTGAATGAATTTTAATTTATACCAACGAACCAGATCACATCGTAACAATCAGCACACTAAAACTCTCAACAACCCATTATTAAAAGAACCCCCAAATTTTCACCATCCAGATAAAATTTAAAAGTAGAATGAACCCACAGCCATACCCAATTCCCCAAGTCACCAAATACCAAATCACCAAAACCAAACCAATCATATTTTGTCAAATTGTATACCTTAGTTCAATACCCTTCGACACAACAAATCAAACCCATCTACAAAACACTAACAACAATGTATGTATAGAAAAATGAAAGCAAAGCATACCCAAAGAGAGCCCTTGAGGCAAAACTGGTCCCTGCAGCAAAGGAGGCTGCTGCAGCAGCAGCAGAGGCAGAGAAAAAAGCAGAAGACTGAAAGGCCTGAGAAGAGTGCAATCCAGAGCTATAGTCTTGGTTTTTCCTCCATAGATCTAAAAGTATAGCTATTCCCGCCATTGTTGGAACTTGTAATGATTGGAAAGGCTATCCCACCCTGTATATGATGAGTTGACAGGGTTATGCCAGTCAACTCGCCTGAAATTAAGAAACTAAAAAAAAAAAAAAAAAATTAACACTAAGAAGGTAATCAATTCATAACTTAAGACATAAAACGAAATGGCAAAGATTCCTTAACCATGCTATGTTTAGTCCTGTTTATACAGACATATGTGAAGATTAGTACTAGAAAAACCCATCAACTTATTCAGAACTCACATGGGTATCATAATTAGCCAGAAACAACACAAGTACAATACCCATATATGCTCAACCTCCAATTAAAAAATAGTAATTGAAAAGCTAAAAAACAAATCTACAAGACCTAGATTTTATTAAGTGATAGTGTATAAGTTCAACTCAAAACTCTTTTTGAGGAACACGAAAATTCCAATACACTCAAAAATCAACAAAACAATTCAATCAAAAGGAAAAAAAAAAAAAAAAAAAACAATAATTTGATGCTCCCAAGAAAAGAAGTAGGGAAAAAAATCCTCCAAATATTTCCTTTCTTTGTTTCTGAAATTCTGCTTGTATCTATCTGTAAATGAACAACCAATAAATTGCAACAATTGAACAACAGCTAAAAACAAGTGAAGTTGACTTGTTTTTAGTTGTTCTTCAATACAACCCAGAAATTAATATAATATGCATATAAAAAGAAATGCTCACGATTAGGTTGCTTCTACGGCTGGCGCGGTGGTGCCCGCGGTGGCTGGCTTTCTTGACGGCTACTAGTGAGGCTGATCTGAAAGGTGTGAGGTGTGGCAAAATGTAGATACGAAATGAAAGTCTTACGAAATATATATAGAATACATTAAGCCTTTTTCACCCTTTTGCTTCTTATTAATTAATTAATAATTATTTTGCCCCTAATTTGAAACTATCTATCAATCTGTCCATCTTTAATCGACTACCTTACATTTTTAATCTACTAAACGCTTGTTGGGAGATTTAATCGACTAAATCTCCCTACTTAATCGATTAAAATCATACTGACTTATTTTTTTTTTTTGTCAAATATGAAGATTTAGTCGACTAAATTCCAGCAGCCATTTTTTGTCTGTTTTGGCCATTTAGTCAATTAAAAATGCAAGGTAGTCGACTAAAGAGGGGCAGATTGATAAATAGTTTCGAATCAAGGACAAAATGGTTATTAATTAATTAATAAGGGGCAAAAAGGTGAAAAAGCCAGCGGAAAATCCTAATTTAAATCTACGATTTTATATTTTTTTAATTAAAATAATTTTTTATCAAGATTTTAAATATTTTTATGATTTTATAAAACAATTTACGATAAAATTTTAAGCTTTATAATTTTTTATCATTCTTTGGATTTTAAATAAAATACTGATTTTAACTACTATGGCCGTGACAATATAAAACTTGGGCATAATTCTACTTCTACTCAAAAAAAATTCATGAAAAAAAAAAGTACGAATCACCTTTGATTTTATTCTCTGTCTAAAATTAGATCTTACTTTTTAGTTATTTTGTTTAATCCATATTTTTTTATTTCTTAAATTAAAAAGGAAAAAGAAACATAAGAAACCAAAAACTCGAGATATTGACCTCTTTGATTTCTATTTCCTCAAATAGAATTTTTGTTTTAAAAATTAAATAATTAAAAAAAAACGTTATTCTTACCATCTCTTTTCGGCTTTTTGACCCTTATGCCCCTTAATTAATAATTAATTACCAAATTGCCCCTCATTCAAAACTATTTCGAAAATTTACCCTCCCCAACAAACATAACACCGATCTGCCCCTGTTTGACCGTTGACCACGAAGCCTACCCGGGTACACCATTACCTACCCGGGTAAATTTTGAAACTTTTTATCTACCCGAGTATGTAGGGGTGTACCCGGGTAGAGTTCTTGAATCTGGGAAAATGTTTGAATTATTTACCCGGGTACGGAGCAGTGTACCCGGGTAAACATCGACGGTAGGGTTTTAAAATACCCCAGCAGCCCCATTTCGAAAACCCACAAAAGGGGTACCCGAGTAGAGCTGCTGGAGGAGTGTCATCTTGAGCGATTTCAGGCATAATCTTGCACTAATTCGTCTTGTTTGTGATCATCATTCGCGGACCTTGCAACCTCTCTGCCTTCTACCGATTGAAATCGATCAAAGGTGCATTTTTTTTTCAGTTTTTTCAATTATGTTATGATTTCTGTTCTGATTCATTGTATTTTCGTTTATATCATTTGATTCTGTCCGAATTATTTTATCAATTTGTATGTCATACGCTTACCCTAACCCTAACCCTAACCCTGAATCTAACCCTAACCCTAACCCTAACCCTAACATGTATCTAATTTCTGATTTTGGTTATTTTTTCAGTTTAATAGTGTGACACAATGACCTCTCGACGCGTTTCAAAGCTGCCAGTGACCCATTCCGAGAGAAAAACCAAGAGTCGTCACGATGGGTCGTCATCCTCTCAGCCCCAGGCTGCTTCGAGTCAGGCTCCGGACTTGACGTTCGGATATTTGTTTGAGGATGACATTCCTTCACACGAGAAGTTCGTGAAGTTTTTCATGACCCGGAAGATCTGCGAACCGAAATCACTGGATTCGGCATTCTTCAACCTAGAGCGTTTTGACATTGTGCCGCTTCTTGAGCAGACACATTTACTTCACCTGGCGGAGATGCGGTGCCCATACTCGGAGGTTATGGTAAGAGCCTTCTACCAGAACCTTGGCTACTCGCAAGGCGAGCTGACTTCCCGTGTCTGCGGGATTGATATCATCATGACTGCTCCTATCTGGACGGAGCTACTGGGGTTCGATTTTGATGGTGTCACAGGAGCAGCACTATATGATGGAGACAGCCATCATATATTTGGTGATTATAACCGGGAGACCATTGTTACAGAGACTATGAGGGCAGACGCTGAGCCCGGTCATTTTGCTCATTATCCTGTTAGCAACTTGTCAGTTTCTGCTCGCATTCTTCATTATGTGGTGACACATATTATTTTCCAGCGCCCGCATAATCACTCAAAGGTGCTGGAAGGGGACTTTGTCATCCTGTGGGCCCTCCTTCACAGTCAGCAGGTGAACTGGAGGCATTACATATGCATACTGATGTGGAAGGCAGCCAAGTCAAAGAAGGCTGAATTGCCTTTTGCATTTCTGGTGCAGAAGATTCTGCATAGATTTGGAGTGCCTATGGCAACAGAGACCTTGAAGACCGCCAGAGGCTGGAATGCTATATTTGGTGAGAGGCTCCTGAAGCAGTGTGGGATCCTACCGAACAGAGCGGGTATCTGGACGTGGAAGAAGGCACCAGAACCACCTGAGATCCCATTCCACCACGATGCTGAGATGGAGGATGCACCTGCAGGTGATGTGTTGGTCTTTATGAGTTTATGCAATTTTGTGTTGTTTAATTTTTAATGTGGTATTGAAGTTTGTTTTTCATGGTTTATGATGTAGGCCTTGATGATGATGACGATGATGATGGCGTTGCTGAGGTTGATGTCAGACCGACACGTCCCACCCGCAGTCGGCGACCACCAGCTCCTCCTGAGGGTGGATGGACACTTGATCATGTCATGGCATCCTTATATGATCTGACTACTGACTTTAGAGGATATAGACAGAGCACGAGCAAGTGGCGAAACCAGATGGACACAAGGGTTGCACGGTTGGACACAAGGGTTTCACGCTTGGAGGGTTTAATTGGCGAGGGTGCCCATACTCAGGAGGAGGAGGAGGAGGAGGAGGATGATGACAATGGGGATGACACACAATCGGATGAAGAGAATGGGGAGGACACGGCATCGGATTAGTGTGTCCATAGGGTTTCATATCATTGATTTAGTTTGATGTAATGTAGTCATTTTGGTACATTTAGGAACTTTACCTACATTGCATGGATGTTTTTGTACTGGATGTTCAAAATTTGAATGAATGAAATTTTCGTTTTGCGCACGTTCAGACTTGTTGGTTCTATGCATTAGTATGAGACCTTGCATTAATATTGTCATAATTAATTTGGAAATCAATTCAACCCAAAGTACTTTAATATTCATGTTCAACTTTGATTGGCGCACATCTTGATTACTGCATCCTATTTCTACGAAATCAATCCACCCCCAAGTCATACCGTATGTAGGTATTGCACAACAATTACCAAAATGCAACAAAAATTGCCACAACAGCATCTGCAACTGGTCTACCCGGGTACCACGAACTAGTCTACCCGGGTAGGATGTACTCGGGTATATCATTACGAGTTACCCGGGTAGACCAGTTGCAGATGCAGCAGCAGGTGCTGTTCAATCCATTTTGTTAGCATCTTGGTAATTGATGTGTAATACAATAACCTTAACTGACTCGGGGAAGGGGTAAATGGGTATGGTAGATAACACAAGAATACAAGATACATTTCAACAACACAATACATAACTAATACAAGATAAAGTTTAGGGTACAAGGAAACAAAACAATACGTAAAGTGATTGTCATTACAAAACAAAGTACTACACAAAAACAATACGTAATCATGCTTGTCTTAGTCTCAATGGACATGTACGAATGTTATGTCCAACTTGCTTGCAATGCTTACATCTGCTCTGACTGCTAGAGGGTTGAGACTCAACCCAATCCATCTCATTCTGAATCCTTGAAGACTTTGGTCTTCCTTTTGCACGTACCAACTGAGCATCCGGAATTACAGTAGGCCCAACAACGGATGGAATCAACAATTCATTGCCAATAGGAAACCAGTGTGCAGCATATACTTTAGCAATGGTTGGAATTTTGAAAACATGATCCACATAATCATAATGGTTTAGCTTGGCTACCTTGCAAACTGCTAATACATGACTGCAGGGATACCTCCTTGCTGTAAACCTACCACACTGACATGTACGATTGATTAAGTCCACTCTCATGATGTCACCGACCTCGTGTGTAGATTGATTGTAGGCATCCTCAACCTCAAACAATAACAGCTCACTATCATATATCCTCACACGATAAGTGCCAGCCAATTCATCATTTTTTTGCAACGCTGCCTCAACCTTCTTTGAAATTATCCAACCTTGTGAGATATCTTTTTCAATCCCTTCACGTCTCTTGACGAAATACTCAACGAGTCTACTGAATGTCATCTTGACCAATGCAGATATAGGCAGATTTCGTGCTCCACGAAGCACCTTATTCACACACTCAGATAGGTTAGTTGTCATATGACCAAACCTACGTCCTGTCTCATCATACGACCTGCACCATTGCTCTTTCGGAATCGCATCCAACCATGAAGCAACTTCAGGATTGTTCTCGATAAATTCCTTGTACCTAATGTCGAAATTTATCTTTGAACATGTGTACCCTGCAAAAAACCATGACATATGCATTGGTTAGTGAATTTCATCAACGTTTTCTTCAAATGGTTGAAAATGTGAGTAATTATACCGTACATTACCTAATTTCATCAACGTTTTCTTCAATTCCACATTCCTAAAACGGGTATTGAAGTTGCTTCCGATGTGACGTAGACAAAATACATGATAAGCATATGGAGGCTGCCACCCTCCGTGGTCTTTCACCGCCCTTATGATGCTTCGATGACGATCGGATATTAGACAAATACCATGCCTATGTGTGACATGAAAACGTAAAAGGCTAAGAAACCAGGACCAATCATCCAACCTCTCACCTGGAGGAACAACAACAAAGTCAATAGGGATGAGCTCAGAAATTATTTACAGTATGAAGTGGCAAAGAAGGGTCACATGCTTTCACATACCCCA